TCTCCTCTCCTCTCCTCTCCTCTCCCATCCTCTCCCATCCTCTCCTCTCATTTAAAGAGATGACTATTATCTTTTTAGTGGTGAAAGTGGCGCAGGTAAAACAGAATCCACCAAGTTCATCCTGCAATATCTAGCGACTGTAAGTGGACAACATTCCAGAATAGAACAGCAAGTTCTACAAGCGAACCCAATACTTGAAGGTACGTACATAAAGTATATACTTAAATCAATCAGACTACATCTAACAGAGCACGACAGCCATGACGTAGTTTTCAAGTTTAATGATGATTGTGTGATTTGACGTCATAGCATTTGGAAACGCCAAGACCCTTCGCAATGATAACTCAAGTAGATTTGGTAAATATATCGATGTTCACTTCAACAAGTCAGCTGTCATTGAAGGAGCAAAAATCGAACACTACTTATTGGAGAAGTCGCGTATTGTGAACCAGGTCAGTTAAAGGCAATATAAGGATATGATGCTAATCATATATAGTATTGTTCTACATGGCAATGTAAAGTAATAGCAACTTTGCGCAAATGCTTAACATGACAGAACCGCTTTTCGAAAAATTCTTCGAGCTGACGTAAGAATTCCAAGAATATAGACCTTGCTAGCCCCGCAAACCTCCAACTGCAGTACGTCAGGCGTTTTCCTTCAAACGTCAAGGCGTCATAACGAAGTCGTCGATGGAAGAGTAGCCATATTAAATTTCATTGATGCCGATTGTTTCTCGGTGTTTGCGGGCGTTTTTCGGGGTCTGATTCCTAGCGGTTACAGGTGAGTGGTTAGCGGTAAACACGATTTTATCATTCACGCCTCTAAAGCGATGAAAGAAGTTGGTTCAAACAATGCGCGTCCCCTGGTTGGATCGAAAAGCGTGCTTGCGCAGGTTGCGCTAGATGTAAAAATGGATACAGAAAGTGATGTCCTTAACAGTAATTATCAAAGATAAGCGCTGTAAGAACTTGTCACAAGTATTCGTGTTTAATTTCTAGATGCCAGATGAAAGGAATTACCACATATTTTACCGCATGTTAGCAGGCATGAGCCCACAAGAGTTGCGCTCACTCCATCTCACAACACCACAGGACTACTACTACTTGTCTCAGGGGAACTGCTTCACGTGTCAGGGTGTGGATGAAGCACGTGCATTCCACGTGATCAAGGAAGCCATGGAGGTATAAGAATCATTATCTGTAGATTTCGAATGGCTGTGAAAAGCTCACCATATACGAATGTGCCGTGCCGAGACCATGACGGTTCTATGTCAGAGGTTCGGACTGGATAAATCGTGATTACTTGCGCTGTTATTGGTTTAGCGTTTGCCGTTAGTTTCAAGCGGATACCGTGACAGTAACTGTACCAAAAGCGTCTCACAGTCATTTGAAACCTGACGTTATAATTAGGTATAGACGTGACATGAAATTTACTCTGGGTCACGCAATCTACGATTGTTGTATATGTTTTACTGTAGGTACTGGCTTTTACTGAAGAAGAAATGTGGCGCATATTCAAGATAATGGCCGCCCTTCTGCATCTGGGGAATATTAGTTTTCAAGGTACATTCTATTAAGGCTCATTCTTATATCCTAGTCATATGTTTGCGCACTTTTATTGTCCCTAATGCATGGCAAATCAGGCTAAATTTGATTTGATTCTTTTGTAGCTACAGTCCATGAGAATATGGAATCGTGCGAAATCATGAATGCTGAACACACAAATTACGCTGAAGATCTACTTGGGGTAAGTGATGGTGCAGTAAACCTAGTAGAGGTGGAGGCTACAGGAGTAGTAATTGAATGGAAACGCAGGCGCGCAGACCAAGAATTTAGCGTATCAGGTTTTGCGCAGGAAGAAAACCGGAGAATCCGGAGAAAAACCCTCGAATCAAGGAAGAAACCTAACATACTCTACTCACGTGTAATGCCGAGTACAGGAATCGAACCTCAGACCTGAGAGGCGCTTGAATATGTCAGTCTTGATTCTCAATAGGTGCTTACAATCTTCTGTTGAAACTGGGGTTATAGTCTTAAATTTTTATCGCTCAACAGCTTCCACGGAACACGATGGAGAAAGCCTTTACCTTCAAGTCCACATACGCATCAGGTGAAGTCATCTATAGTCCACTGAGTGACAGCAAAGCCACAGATGTCAGGGATGCTTTTGTCAAAGGATTGTACGGTAAAACCTTCGTCTGGATCGTCCGCAAGATAAACGCCTCAATCTACAAACCCAAGGTACGGCAACGATCTGCCGCGCGACAAAATAGGATTTTGATGGACGTCTATCAAAGTGTTTGTCATGGAATCGCCTTGATTTACGTCCATCAAAACCTTTTTGTCGCGACGACCATTCCGCAACTGCTTTCGAGAACCATAAGATATTTTGTTGTCGTACTTGACTAAGCAAAATAAATGTTCCCTGAAAACGAAATCAATGCTAACCAAAAAGGGATCTACGTTTCTCTCATGTCTTGTTAGGACGAGAAAGACGGTCGCACGTCTATTGGTGTACTGGATATCTTTGGCTTCGAAGTCTTTGACGTGAACAGGTAAAGCAATTACCTAGAATGGTTGAGAATTACTGTAAAAAGGATAGATAGGTTATGCAGTGAATTGGAAAGCGAACGTTGGACAAGGGAGGTGTATCTTCTTCACTCCTCTTCGTTTCTCTTTGGGGAATATTATTCGTTCCCTTTCATAGTTTTTGCAAAGTCAATATTGTCAGGCACAATCATGATTTTATTTAACTTTTTCATTCCTCAGCTTTGAACAACTGTGCATCAACTATGCAAACGAGAACCTTCAACAGTTTTTTGTTGCGCAGATATTCAAAATCGAGCAGGTAATATACATATGGATGACAAGAGCAATTTGTTTCGTAAATGGGATACCTGTGGTAAATGACGCTCAAATAGTTTGCACTCTTATCTCAGTGAACCAATGAAAATGCGGAGAACCCGCGCACCAGCCAATCAGCCAATAAGAAGAATTGGAAAACCATTTGAGAGTCATGGTGTCTTTTTGTCATACAAAATCTCCTGTTCTTTGCTCCATGTTTACTAGTACTTTGTTTGCTTGCTTGTTCGTTCGTTCCTTTGTTTGTTCGTTTAAATTCGTTCGTCACGCTGACTTTCAATGTTTCATCTACGTAATTCCAGGAAGAGTACAGTCGGGAAGGAATCGAGTGGAAACAAGTGACCTTCCAAGACAATCAAGACGTTCTCGACATGCTGGCCCTCGCACCTATGAACTTTATCGCGCTAATGGACGAAGAGAGTAGATTCCCTCAGGTAAACACCAAGAGCTTTCTCGGAGTGCGATAAACATGATGCATTGTGGTATAGCTTGGGTTCAAGTAACACCGCATGATGAACAATAGATGTTCTTACCCAAGCTAGACCGCAATGCACCATGTTCACCACCTCACATCACCTTATAAGGCATGATGAACAAAAAAATTTTGTACCTAAGCTAGACCACAATGCTTTAATTTTTTTCTTCTCGGCAAAGATTTTGTCCTGCTGATTCCCCATATCTCTAGAGACTCGATCTTCTCATATGCCAAATGCATTTATTCTCATCACGGGCTTGAGAAAATGATTTTCATAGATATCAAACTACATAATATTTAGATTGCGCGCAACAATGATATGCATGACGTCCTTCCCTCGATTGGAAAAATGGTCAAAAGCTAAAGGTAAAATTGCACAATTGGTTCTGGATTTTTTTAGGGAACAGACGAGTCATTTCTACACAAGCTGAATGCAAATCATAAAGACAATCCTTACTTCGTTAAAAGCAGCTCATTGGAAAGAACGAAGTTTGGAGTCGTGCACTTCGCTGGGACTGTGTATTATGAATCTGAAGGTGAAGATGTAACGGAAGGAAAGAAGGAAGGAAGGAAGGAAGGAAGAAAGGAATAATCTAATAATCCATACATGTTTTGTTTGATGGCAGGAATTCTAGACAAGAATCGTGACACATTCAGTGGTGATCTCATTGATTTGATAGCTCAAAGTGACTCAAACTTCTTGCTCGATTTTTTCATAAAAGAACGTTCCATGGTATGTAATATCTAACATCTATACTTCAATCTAAGAATATTTCTTATTAGAGGGTAAAGTTCCTTTGCATCTTATCTTTCGTTGACTTGGGGATCGTTCTTTATTTAAGGGAGGAGAATGGTATGAAGTAATCAAATCCCCCTCCCTTATTTGAGATGCAAGACTTTTGCTGTACCCTCCCATACACGCCCTGTTTTCCCTTATTCGTTTTTACTTTTCATGCAAAATAATAATGATAATAATAATAATAATACTCGACGTTCTGTTTTCTTTTCTCAATGGTCTACCCTCTGTTTTACCAGTTCTCTCCCAAATGAAAATCGGTCCTAATATAATTTGCTGTCTTGTCTAAGATTCTAATCCCCATTTCTGTGATGTGATCAGGGAACAGAGACAAGAAAACGATCTCCCACTTTAAGCATGCAGTTCAGACGTTCGTTAAATGTTTTGATGAAGACTCTATCGAACTGTCATTCATCATTTGTACGCTGCATCAAGCCGAACAACCATAAACAAGCCATGGTAAGGTTGTTATTTCACTTGGATAAATTACTATTGCTACTTATTCTTTCTTGTCATCCAGGATTTACTTTCCCTCTTTTAATCTTAATGATACAGGTGTTTGACAGACAGTTGTGCTGGCAACAGTTGAAGTATTCAGGAATGCTTGAAACAGTTAGGTAAGATTACTCCCCCCCCCCCCCCCCCCCCCCCCCCCCCCCCCCCCCCCCCCCCCCCCCACGACTCACCCATTACAGACAACAAATCTATAGAACTAGTCAAACTATAAAAACGATTACAATGCTGTAGCGATGGAAAAAAAAGAACCAACGAATAATGATGAATGAATAAAAGAAAAAATGGCGGTCCGATGAGTAATTCACCAATGCGCATGCGTTAATATTATTAACCCTCGACCGCAATGCATGCTTATTATATCATCACGATAATGGACGATTCTGCATCAAACGAAAAAAGGTTCGTTTTTTCTCTTCCTATTTTCAATCAACTTTCTCAATTCATCAGTATTGTGTTAGTCAACAGTTCGTCTACCACATCCTAGTGCCCACATAAATAAGCCTGATTTCTGTCATGTTTAAAATGAAACATGAAAAATGCCGAAAGTCAATATCGACTTGATAAAGTAAATTGAGTTTGATATCAGTTTTGTACTTTCACGACGTTATGTCAATACACACAGGCAATATTATGAACTAATATAGTTTAGTAACTCTCATTTTAGATGCATCCAATTCCTTGTTTTAAGGAGCAGTGTCAAAAACCTTGCCATCTTGGGATCGGAGTAGAAATGTCAATTTTGATATTTCACTTGTTTTATCAATCTTTTAGGCAAATTTTTTAACGAATATTATTGAGAAAGTGTAGCCAAAAGGATAATCCAATAATGGTTTAGAGTTTAGGCTGGAATAAAAGTTGAATTTTAGAGTATTCTGGAGTATTTTGTTAATATTAAAGATTTACATAACAAGCTTATCTTTAACTTCAATTTTGCAAAAGCCTACTCGCAAAGGCACTTGGGAATACACTTCTTTTGTGATAGTTTATCTTCTCATTTAATAATATTATTTATTATTATTAATATTTATATATCTATTAGGGTTCGAAAGGCTGGTTATTCTATGCGACACACCTTCGAAGAATTTGTCACACGATATCACATGCTTCTGCGTGACAGTGAAGCCAAGTCACGCAATCCACAAGAAGTCTCGGAACTCATCGCCAGTTCTTTACTCAGCAGCACGGGCTGGGTAATGGGAACGAGGAGAATCTTCTTAAAGGTGAGAAAAAATTCAAAGGAAAAATAGTCGAAAAAGTATGTTCTGAATAATATTATCTTTATTGAATATTTTGTAGGAATCTCAAGACAAAATTCTAGAAAATGCTCGCTCCAGGCTCCTCACGTCCAAGGTTGTTCTTCTACAAAGGAATATTAGAAAATATCTTCAACAAAAACGTGTCCGAAAAGAAAGGAATGGAGCCATTGTGATTCAGAAAACATGGAGAGGGTACAAAGAGAGGCGAGCGTATAACACGGTAAGTGTGTCTGCTGCCCTGCTATGTAAATAAATAAAAGTGTGGTTGCGCCCTCAATAATACTTAGACCTCTGGTTTTTAGCTTCATTCAATCAAAAGGCTTCCTCGGTTATCCCAGTGTAACATGGTTTGATTTGATGGATAAACTGTAGGATGAAAGCACAAAAAAAATGTGCCGCGCGTCGACTGGCTTTTTCAGAAACATGAAAAGTATTCTAATGGCTCTGTCTGTCCATCTCGTACCCCGAGCCTTTATTCCTTACTGCGCATGCTTGACGACAAGCATGCGCAGTAAAAAATAAATAAAGGTTCTGCGTACGCGATTGCTTTGTCTTTCTGTCCGTCTGTGTGTCTACATTACAGACTATCAGTGTAAGGTCTCAGTCAGACAGATTAGTTGTGGCTGTCTGTCCGTCTGCCATCTTTTCTGTTATAGTATCTTATTTGTTGTTGTTGTTGTTGTCTTTTTTTATGAGTGTAACTGATATCGGTGCATTCAACTGCCTTCTAGTTTCCCCCCTGATTATTTCATATTAAACGTTTACTAGATGAGACGGGGTTTTTACCGCCTTCAAGCCATTGTACGTTCACGTTTACTTGTCAAGAAATACCACACGCTCAAGCTACAAATGGCTGAAGAACAAAAATTAAAGCTACAAGAACAGAAGAGAAGAGAAGAAGAGGAGAGAAGAAGGGAGGAAGAAGAGAAGAGAAGGGAGGAAGAAGAAAGATGGCGGAAAGAACAAGAGTTACGAAGACGAGAAAGAGAACGAAAAAGAAAAGAAGACCTTGAAAGAAGAGCCAAAGTAAATAGGACGTTTGCATGATGGAGTCATTTGACTCCCACTACCATAATGCTTCGCGAATTTTCTTTCTTATTCAAATTTGTATTTCCTCATGAGAATAGTAAGACAATTGGTGCTAATTAACTGAATAAAAGGAAGTGTGCAAGGGAGTCTGGTAGTAGAGGTCAGTGACGCCATCATACAAACGTCCTATTGATATATAATTTATACTCACTAGTATTTACCATCACGTGACGGCAGCCATGTTAGATGGCAGGAACAATACGATCGTTTTACATGAGAAAGAATTCAATTGCCGAGAGCAAAGAGATTTTATTGTTCTGTCATCTAACCACAGGAAGCCCAAGCAGCATTATGGGATGGGCACGTAATGGTGCAAAACCTCTATTAGATTAGACTGATGTTGTTACTGTATTCGATTAGATGTCGGTGCCATGTTTTTTCGGTACAGCGGTCAGCTCCCAAGCATGCGCAAACCTTATTTCTTCATTTTATGTTTATGCACAGGAAGCCCAGATGGAAAGAGAGCAGAGGGAGAAAAACCGTGGTGAGGGACTTACACTCCTAGGTAGGACCACACTTGATCATATCATATCAGTACTTTATTTATCACAGTTGATCATACCTTCTGTTTGTTCTTTCATAGGTCGTTCCTCAGCCGGCAAAGCTACGTAAGTAGAGGGAGTTTAAACTTTCCAGTTCGAAAAGGAATAAAAAAGGGACCAGCGGAGGGAGGGGAGGAAGGGAGGGAGGCTGGGAAAGAGGTAGGAAGGGGTCAAGCTAGGTTTAATTCTAAAAGAAAGAAAGGAAAAAAGAGAGAAGAGAAACAGTTTGGAATCTTTTATTCCTCTTTCATTCACACAGTTCTCAAAGCACAGCATTATACCAAGGGACATCAGCCAGTACTACTCAAGACCTGGGCGCTCTTTCTTCTTCACTCAGTGAGATGCTGACACGCTCTAATCCTACTCGTGGTAAGTCTTGTTGATATAGTCACGTGGTCTGTCCAATCTTGTTGATACAATCAGGTGATCTGTCCCATCTTGTCCATGCAATCACGTGATCGGTCAATCCATGTTAATACAATCACGTTATCAGATAAGGTCTTGCTGATACAATTACTTTTTCCCCTTCGTAGCCTCGCATTCATGCGCTTTGACTGCCGCGTGAGTAAGGTTCATTGTTATTATAGAAGAATATAAAGGTTTTCAGTGTCATCATTTGTATTGTTTGCAGGTGCGCAGGACGGTGCGCAGTATGTTCCTCACACGTTAACCTCAACGATATCAAGTTTGTCTTCTCTTTTAAAGCCAAGTCCAGGCAATTCTGCTGCTTTTGCGGTTTCTTTGCTTGCTTTTGGAATCGCATTAGGAACTCCACCAACAGAGCAGCACAATCAACAACAACAACAACAACAAGAAGAATCCACAACAGCTGACAGTCAGGCCTCTACAAGTCGACAGCAGAGGTATGTACTCTAGAAAAAACCTTTACATTTTACCTGGATCGATATCCTGGAACAACATATAAGTGAGCACGGTCAATACACAGATTGAACCCTGAAACAACCTCTTGGTTGATCAAAGTCAGGGCATGGCTAATATACAGATCGAATCCTGAAGCAACCTCTGGAAGATCGATCTAAGTCAGAGCACGACTAACTCACAGATCGAACCCTGAAACAACCTCTGGGCTGATCTGAGTCAGGGCACGACTAACTCACAGATCAAACCCTGAAACAACCTCTGGGCTGATCTGAGTCGGCACGACTAATTCACAGATCGAACCCTGAAACAACCTCTGGACTGATTTGAGTTAGGGCACGACTAACTCACAGATCATATTGGGATTTTGAAATTTAAGCGAATTTTCGTTATGATCCGAGTTAGATCCGTCGGCCATGCTTGAATCTTACATTTGGGAACCGTGAGTTGTGCAGACCGTACACGTTTAAATGACACATATTTCAACAGATGGTTGCATGTCACCCCAACTACCGAAAATCCATCTCTATTTAACATGATTTCTTTCTTTTTACAATAGTCAACGACAAGGCTTCGTATCACCTCTGCGCACTGAAGCGCGTGGCCCGCAAAGTTCGAATCGTAACGGACCCAATTCAGAGCTACGACATTAGTAAGTATCAATGTCCACTTTCGACTGGAATTCCTGTGTCCTTACACAGGAACCCCGAGTAAAGTATTCACGATTTTCAAACTAGAAAATAAATGTCGAATCTTTCCAGGTTAGGCATGACACACACTACAGCTGCGCGCATTCTTGAAATACGCTTCATCAGTTGAAAGTTAAAAACGCTTTTTTTTTTTTCAATTTTAGATCGTACAATCCGGGGACAGCATCCATCGATCAATATATTGAAATAAAATATAAATCACCATAAGGTAGCAGAGTTTAAGATTAATGCATCTCAATCTAGGCCGCATCCTTTGGGCGCATGTAGAACACGATACACAAAGACTATGAGGATTTTACAGTCGTTAGCACCCATTCATTAATTCCCTATACTACCTTACAGCCTAAGGTCTACTTTTCATTGCGCTGTGAGCACAAACACAAGAAAAAGCGCTGCGTGTGTTTTGTTTTGTTTTGTTTGTTTGTTTTTATGTTGTTTTTTTTGTTTTTTGTTTGTTTTTTTTTTGTTTGTTTGTTTTTGTTTTGTTTTGTTGACTTGACCACAAACATACTGAGAAGCAGCATGGTAAATGTTGTCGACGCTGAAATAGCGATGGAAACATTCAAAAACCTCCATTTACAAAAATGTGATTATCAAAGTAATATACCACGACAAGGGTTATTCTTTTCCGGATGTGAACTGGAGACGATGTTAGCCTCCCAATATTCATGCTTTTCGTTGAGCAGTTTTCGTTGAGTCACGTATTTAAGCTTCGCAAAATTGGAACGATATCGTAGATCGATCCGTGGAAACATGACCGCCATCATCTAATCTCTAGTTTTCACGCCATTATTCACGATACTAAGGATCGTAATTGAATTGATTGCAAATATCCGTCCATTTTCTAACACATAAAATCCCTAACAAGCTCAACATAATCACCTTAACGAGTTATTTTGATAAAGTACTCGAGGAATAAGAACACCGGAGACAGTATGGGGATCTACTTAAATAAATCAATTCATTCATTATTAGGATAAAAACACTGTGGATTTCGACAGCAGAGAGCCTCATTTCTTAGTATTTACTGCTTTCTTTTCCACTAAGATTGTTCGATATAGGGCAGATGTTTCCACGCGCGAGTCGATCGCAAAGGGCGTTGGAATACCTCGTATTGAGCACCTCAAATTTCTATTTTTTTATCATGAAATTCGTGAGCTCAAAGTGATGCTCATGTGAAATAAAAATGAAATTTAGAAGCACTCTGGTAATGAAAAAAGTATATTTATTGTTTAGAGGTGTTACATTTTCTTACGGCATTCCCATGATCATCTCGTAGTTTTCTCTTGAAGCTTTATCTAAGCTTTATGACTATAGATACATAGTATGATAAAGTGCAATTCGAAACTGACGTCCTATCGACTTAGAATCAAGCTCGGCTTCCGCACGCGTGTATAGTATATAAATGACAAACGAAAAATAGAAATCCTCCAAGGTTCCAGAGAAATTTTGTTCCACGTATCTTTGTTTGTACATGACGTCATAGCCGCCATGTTGGATGAATTGAACAAGACTTGTCAATGAATTTTTCTGTTGTTATGTTATCCATCATGGCCGCCGTGTCTTTTGCAATTCTTTGCCTTCATCGAGTTGTAGTACCATTAGAGCCCGGACAGGGTCTCTTTATTAGCAAGACATTAGCTCTCAGCATGTCATATTCAGGTCATGTGTAAGGCTGACATTTCTGTAGTGGCTGTAGATTTAGAAATAATACCCGGAGGCCGATTATTCAATAAACTGAGTAGTTTGCTTTGTAAGGGTTAAGAGCGATATATGAAGGAGTTTTCTAAATTGCGTATTAGCCCGTACTCTCAGGCCAGCCAAAACCCCCTTGATCAAGAGCCAACATTTCTTGACATTAATTAACTTTTCAGAAATATGGGAGAAGTCATTTTTTAGGAGGGGTGTGTGGGCCCTATAAACAGTAATGTAACATCTTTAGCCCCCCTTTTTTAAAAGTGACCCTTCCCTTGAAATTTGTTATTTAACCCTCCCCTTTATGTGGTATGAAATATTTGATGGGTAGAAATTTAATGGTCCTCCCCTGGATTCGGGCAAAACCCCCCTACCCCCTCCTAACAAATAAATACTTCCTAACTCATTGACTACGCTTGATACTTTATTGATAAATCAAGAAGATTGATGCTCTTTTAGTGTTTGTCTACGCCTCGGTGCTGAATAAAACTCTTAATTGACACTGATTCATTCGTTCATGTTTTCAGTTTATTCACACGTATAATACGATCATAATTCATTATGAATTGTTAATTATAGATAATATAAGTAGAAAATATTATAATGATAATAATAGAAAAGTAAATGATATTAAGTGTGTGAGGTTGTTGTTCGTTCATTCATTGCTCTTTCCCTCTCTTCCGCCTTTTTTTATCTATTTATTTTCTGTGTCGTGCTGAGTGTCTAGTTCTTAGCCCTTTCTTGTTTTACTTATTCTACAATACTAATACACTACTGAACGACACTAATAAATATAAAATCCAAGGATTAACTATATAGATTTACCCCCCATCGAGTACCAACAGTCACCTGCATTCATTAGCCAAAGACTCCTGAGGTTTCTAAAACAATACAACAACAGCATTTCTTATTCTACTTTGATCAATGGTTACTCCCGATTCAATGTATTCAAGTAGTGCGTTGACATATCGAGTAGTACGTCTTGGAGTACAATAAGATCTCTTGTGTGTGTGATGCAAAGACCATCCCTGAACACACTCACCAAAGAGAATGAGCGCTTTTCAGGTTTTTTAAAAGCATTCAGTACTGATTTATTATTCTTGATATTACTACTTTGTTTTTCTTTCAAATATTAAAGTTATTAATTATTGGTCGACACTACGTATACGCTTATGGCGAAAACGAACTAAAAAATTGTTCTGACAAAATTTCTCCGTTCATAAATTTTAATCGATACTTTGTCGGCTCGCGTTCGTCTCCTGTAAGCTGTTCGTCAATTTTAATCGATACTTTGTCGGCTCGCGTTCGACTCCAGCAACCTTGTTTCGACCGTAACATAGCAAACAAATCAATATCAAATACCCATTTAAATGTATTTCGTAATCTTACTTTTATTCTCATAAATGATTCGATTCTAGAGGTCTTGACTAATTTACATAATTCGTAGTGTCTTCGGGTCTTAATCGGATATGTTGCGTGTGCCGGAACATTCTCTAATCTTGCTGCATGGTTCAAGGACCGGTCTATTTATTTAACAGATATGATCTCACACATTCTAAAGTTTACTTAATGCATTCGTTAATATAGTAATCTGATTTTATCTCGTAATGTCTTGTAGAACTTGATGGCTTATTGTATTTGTAATATGCAAGAAAGAGAAAAAAATAAAGCATTTTCAAGTACCCTTGTTATAGTCATAAATCCTTCTTTCGCGAAAATTTAAGATTTTCGTTCTTCCCTTGATTTCATTTTTGTTTCTTTTTTTTTTTCCCCTGAGTAATTTTGGCTTCAACGTTCGGCAAGTTCGTCCATCGATCGTTTAGTGCTCTAATTTTCTAACAAGCGCGAATAAACAGATATTTTTATACAGTGTATACATAGTATATATCACTTGTTTGTTTGAGTCGAGCAGAAAGGATTTCTTCTATCACTTCTGATCATAGTGCTGTTTCTCTGTCCTTTACTGCTCTCAAGTCATTCTTCTGTAGTGTAGTGGCTGATTGCAGTAATGAAGTGCTTTTCACCGATTCAAAATGCTGTTTCGGAGAGTGCCAACCATAGAACTTTTTCTTAAACTCACGCCTAAACTCCGCGCTAACAAGAGCGTAGATAAGGCAGTTGACGGACGAGTTAGCAATAACGCAAATAACAGTAATATTGTAGTAAACCCAGATGAAACGATCCCAATGAAGCTCTTCCCAATATGTAATTGCTAAGCGCAAAGCATTCAATGGGAACATCGTGACAGCGAAAGTGACTACCACGGGAGTCAGAAGTTTTTTAGCTTTTGCATTGATCTGTTCTCTACGTCGTCTCTTCTTGGCTGAAAAGGATCTTCTTATTGCCTTGTGGAACTGAGAGCTTTCCTTCAGTCTCTGCCCTATTTTGATGTACGTCGATATGATCACAGACAGAGGAAGAATATACCAAAATACTGCAATTCCAATCATGTACGTTTGATGGAAAATGTTCTTGTCCAGTCGGTCGGGCCAGCTTGGGGTACAATCAACGACCTCATAAAGAGGTCTTAGATCTTTGAAATCAATGACGAAGAAAAGTGGAAGAGAGACGATGAGAAAAGAAACTAGCCAGATTAGAATGACGGTGGCTCTTGCAGTTTTCAGCGCTCTTTTCCTGTCACGTCTTATGCCGCCTACGATTGCACGGTAACGGTCGATGGCAATGGCTGTAATAGACCACACGGATACACCATGGAAAACATCTCCTATTGGGTATATATACCTGCAGAAAAACTCGCCCAGAGGCCAGTTGGTGGGATCCTGTTCTTTGATGACAGCGAGAGGAAAGTTGATCAACAAAACCCCGAGGTCTGCAATGGCCAAGTTGCGGATATGAAAGTTCGCAACGGAGTGAAGCTTTTTGCTGCTGGTGACTGTATGGCATACCAAGACGTTGCCAAGAACCCCGAGTACAGCTATGGATACTTCGACAGTTAGTCTTGTGACCTCTAGGAATAACGGTTCTTTAATGTAGTCGGGTGCTGAGGTATTTGATGTGAAATTAGTGCTTCCTTGCCCTGTCATTTTGTTCGACTAATGATCGATTCTCTAAGTGCTTTTGCAAGCAGTTCTTTCGTTTTCAATCGATTTTTCTTCTAAAATTCCGTCGAATTCTGCTCCGTTTGCTATTACGGTTCTTAAATCTAGCCGTAAACAAAAACAATTGTGTTCTTAGTCCAAAAGCGTAACGAGCCAAGAGCAAATTCTTCGAATACACCCTCGGCAATTTGCCTTCCACTACTATAAAGTCAAGACAGCTCGCGAGCACAGGACTTTCCAATCTGCTGTTCGTAGTAAAATCAGTTTCAATCAATAGGTCTTCCGGAAATGATTTTGATAGGCTGAGATATACTTACTACTGATTGATCTTCATCTCCATTAAGAAGTCTAGTTGCTTCTGTGTGCCTAGGATGCAGTGTTCAACCCTGTATATCGAGCAAAACTATATATATAATCCCAAGGTATTCTGTCTTTCTTTCTATAAACTATTCTCTACTAAGTCAATACAAACAAAATTATCTTGCATGCTATCTGCTTGTGTTTCCACCCTAAAATATACCACTTTGTTCAAGTAGGTACGGCGGCAGCTTGCTTATGGGTATAGTATTATCACAACCATGTCATTGGCGGCACCAATTTATGATAATCACCGATCAAAAAGGCTCAAAATGCAAGCTTATATTTATTTTTACAAGGTTTCATGAAGGTACCATGCTTTCGACTTTGTGCAATGTAAAGTCAGTAGCAAATACTATCATTTTATAAAGCAAAAATTACTAAACTTAACAATAAAAATTCCCTCAAAAAAGACTCCGATAAAGGTTTAAACTTTCCGTGCAGAATGAGACAATATCTTTAATAAAGTTTATTTTGTTGTCCAGGATTAGAAGGGGATAAAAAAAACAAGTTCGATTAAGTCGAAGCCAAAGGTGTTAGCCAAGGAAATGGGAGTAGTGTGAACATACATTGCCTTAGCAGAGCGCTATTAAATGCATGGGAAATTAGGCCGGGCAAATGATGGTCAAACGCTAACATCTTTCAGACTACAGCCAGGAACGTCTTTGAATTCACAAAACGCGAACGAAAAACGTGTCAAATTAAACGGGCTAACTACTTTCCTTTCACCTAGCCATGACAAAAACTACTTTTAATAATGCGATAAACAAAGCCAGGAAATGGTATTTTTCCATCAAAAAGTGGCCAATTTCCTTTTAATTTACGACAATTCATAACTCGGTTTTTAATATAGCTCAATATTGTTTTCTTTTTTCATCAAACTAGATATTTTTAATCGCTTTGCGTGAGTAAATCCCTCGGTGGTTTAATTACTGCATGTCAAAACTCTACTCAGTCAGCTACTAAAATGATTAGTTTCAAATCCCGCGTCTTATAAAGCCCAACTTTTGTCCCGTAAAGAGACAGAATTAGTCTTAGTCTTTAAAAGGTGTTAAATGAAGAAGTTTTGCCAGCAAAACACGAAACACCCTTAACAGAGGACTATCTATTAAGGCTCGTAAAATACATATTTTGAAACGTGTTCTACTATTAAGTTGTTTGTATTACCTAAATTACCAAAAATGGAGTTTTTGAGTGACTAGAAGTATCGTACAGGTGTTTTGACTAGTGTTTGTACAACAAACACTGCAGCAATTTCCTAAAACGTATGCTTACGCCCACTAATATTTTTTCACCTCCGAGAGACGAGAGACGCCCATGGTAATCGCAGTGCAATCCATAAACCTCGATCTGTTAATTTCACAGAGATTAATCGGTGGGAGTGACTATTTCAACAAAATGGTTGTGATCAAATACGGATCGTACCACTACCATTAACTCCAATAATTAACAATATGATCGTGTTCATTTAAAGACCTCGGCTCTTCTTTTTTTAATTTCACTCGTTTAGCTTTACCAAATATTACTCCGTTATCGTACTGTCAACTCCTCAGTCTTCTGCAAGACCTAGTACCAGGAATAAATTTAATAAAGTTAGAACAGAAAGCGCCGGCTTGCTTTGCAATGCGCAGTGATGAACATTGATTAATACAGTCATCCAACAAGGCTAGGAGTTGCGTGTTGAAGGCTTGAATAGCTTTCTTATCGAAATCTGCCTTTGAGATCCAGCTAATTAAACAAATCGCTTATCTCCTTAGGGTTGGTACTATAGTTTATCCGCGGTAATTTATTAAGACGATCAATAAGTCTGGAAAAAAATTTTCCCGGACAAAATCTAGGGCAAATTTCCTGCACGAAAGCGCGCGCTTGAAGGCCGTGGACTTACAGTCGCAAAACAACCAGAATACGTTTGAAAAACTGCTACGAAAAAAATTGTCGTCGCCAATCGTCACCGCAAAGTATACAGGAGTGGCTCAAAGAGGTCGAACTGAAAGCATGAAGTTGCTTTACCCGTGAAATAGTGTAAAATAATAATGTTTATTTTGATTGCTTAGCGTGTATTTAACCATTACACAAACGGTGCGCTTTTATTGAGATTCAACATCAGATAGGGATTGGGAGAATCTTGGAATTTAAAAACTAATGAATTTTAACAAACTAACAGATACAATAGCGAGGAAATTAGGGCGTAATTAAGGTGTATTGCAAGATAATGAAAGGAAAACTGGACTGCAAATTGACAAGCTCGCTTATGAATCACGTAATGGACGTTAGTGTTTATGTAAATAAACGTAATGGAAAAACTGATTTATTTTAAATACAACTTTGCAGAGAAGGTATCCTTTGGAACGATTAACTAGTTTATGTTCTACAATGACAGATGTGAGAATACTTGTTAGAGTTAATCATAATATAGCTTGAAACTTAGAAATAAATTCTATCTTTTATCGTATAATTTTAAGATTATCATCAAATACAGCCTGTTGAAGAGCTAAAGTGCTTGAATAAAATCATAACTAATAGATTCATTCTGGTTGCTTTAGAATATTAATATTCAAAGGATGAAGAGGAAAGGAAAGATAATCCGAGCGAGTAAAAACAAAAGTCAATACTGATTTTACAATATTTAAGTTACTTCCTTAAAGTAAGCATCTTTACGACAAGACAAAAGATAACGTAAAATAAAAAAATTACAAAACGCTTCGTATGGTTTTATAACACTTCTAAGGGCTTGAATCTCTGCGTCTTCTTCCTCCCCTAAAAAAATAATTAAAAAAATATTATCAGATGGTTATCAGGACTTCATTGCCTACGAAAAAAAACTCCGTTTGGTTTTTCTTTTTCCAAGAGAATTTTTCCCGCGCATTTTTGGGAAATTTAAACTGAGAAGATACCGACATTTCATTAACTATCTCTACGATAGAAAAAAAACGGTGGCGGTACTTTGGTCTTATGCGTTTGTTTGTGGAAAATCCCGATAAATTTTCATATTCTTAAATGATACAGAAACTCGTTTAAAACTAAAATCGGAAGTTGATATTTTGTATATATTTTTTTCAATAAGTGCCTCATAATTGAGTCAGAAAAATTGTGTTTTTTATTTCTGATTAACTTAAACATCCAATAGAAATATCAAGCAACTTTTCGTTAAATCCATCAAAACAAACAAAAATTACTATAAAAATTGAAAAACTGAAACTAGGGCCCTATATTTTTCTTATCCTATCCTTTTTGTTCTTATCCTTTCATTCTTTCCAGTTCTTTTATTGGAAATATATATATATATATAACAAGCTAATCCTTGATGTTTACCTTGACATTTTTTCAAGATATTGGCACTAAAGAACGATTGGGGATTAAAGTATTAATATTTTAACTTAATTCAAGAAAAAAAGTGAAGTGTTACTATTTATTTAAAAAAACAATACATCCAGCTAAATTTAAATAAGGAAGCTATCTTGAAAATTAACTAATTTATGTTTTGAAGCTACAGTAATGTTGGGTAGTTTTGGGAACAAAATACTCCAGTTTTTAGTTGCTCAGGGTTAGAATTGAATTTGTGTAGGATATTTATGTGTTCTTGTGAAGGTCTGTAAAATTTAAAAGTGCTTGTATTAATGAAGTTTGGCTTCTTCACTTTATTGGTGGTATTTGTATGCATCAGCTGAATGAATTTTATTATTTATTGTAATTTCTAATTGGATTTGCCAATCCATGGTGAACAGATATAGGCTTTGCAACCAACTCGATAAGGCTACCAATAGAACAAATTAGAATTTAGAAGATGATTTTTGTGGAGGGAGGAAAAACCGGAGAACCTGGAGAAAAACCCTCGAAGCACAGGATCAATCAATCTTTTAGCAAGATAGAAAGTGCAAAAATGAACTTAACCATAACTCGTTCTTTACAAGAAAGAGCAAAACGCTAGCAAAAGTTATGAGAAAATTCTATTGATTAAAGCATTTTCATTGATATGAGCAATCTATTATGTAATACCATGGTATGCACTTGTATAGACCAGAACAAAATGACCAATCAGAAAGTAAATGGGATAAAATAGTAAGTTCCATACCTGCTCTTTTTATTTGGTCCACGTACAAAAGCCCAGTCAACAGTGATCGTTTGTTCCAGTAATTCTGTACCATTTAAAGCTTCCAGGGCACTTTGCGCTTCCTTGAACGTCTCGTATTCAACTAAAGCATATCCCTGAATAATTAATAGAGAAAAAACATTAGATTGTCCTTGTTTTACAAGGGCCACACATTCCTGATCAGCCTGAATGAAGTGAAGTGTGTACAACATGAGAAATAACCAATAATTTCAATTTCAGTTCTATAGTTTACAGTATTAACTTTGTTCCTATCAGGCTCATTAAATCAGATTTTACCCTCCACAGATGGTCAGGTTAAAGAGTTTCATCATATAGGAACGTAAGTCACTAAACTTAGCAACTAAACAATAAAAACTTGTAGCAGACTGGTTTAGTTTGGGTATGCTGTTCTTCATTTTATCTCACATGTACTACCCCCATAGTGTTTTTTCTTTTGCTTTCCTTTAATACTCAATAAGACTCTTTACAGCTGATGTGTTTTATTTTAAAGAGATGACAAGGGTAACACTAAAAAGCCTGTAGCTAACAAGCCTGTGGCCTTTATTACATGACCATATTGGAAGTTAAAAACCATTAGAAGTTGATTTTTGTGCAGGAAAACTCTGAAGAAAGCTCTCCAAACAATAAACAAGCAGCTCGGCTCACATGTGATTGTGAGTTGAAATTTTAAACCCACAGTCACAGCAGTGAGTAAAGGTAGTATATTAGCAATGTATCTTTCTCCATGCTTCCCTTTCCATCAAGATTAAATGGTTCACAATCATTTATAATATAATAATAATAATTTTAGACTTGAATATAGAGTTCCTTGCTCTGTGTTTGGTTAAGTGACCAGTGATCGTGAGAGTGATAACCATCGCTCAAGCTTTGATTTTGAGGTTTTCCAAAGTTTGCCAGAGCAGACGTAATACTCCAGACATTAATATTCCAGACATATTTTAGGTGTTTACAGTTTTCTTAGTTTGTCTGTAAATATACTGTGCCATTAGTGAAACCAACTGTTACAAGGACAAAATACCTTGAGGAATCCTGTTCTTCGGTCAAGGTTAACGTGTAGATTTTTAATTTCTCCATGGTCAGAGAAAAGTTCATGGACGTCATCTTCTTGAGCTTCTTCATGAATATTTGTAACAAATAAAATCCATCCTTCCACAGCTGAGATTTAGAAAAATAACAACAGAAAAATATTTCAGTTTGTGGATTAGTCTGTGGGCATTCATAACTGTAAAATCAGCCATTACATAATGTAATAGAATATATTTTATCTTTACCACACAGGGAGTGATTGCACAGTCTCTCTAGCCAGGAGCATATGACTAAAGTACTTAACATGTTTAGAGAGACTGATCAGGAGAAAATCAGATAAAAACTTGTCGAAGCTCAGAAGAAAATCAACAAGCAACTCTACTGTAATATTCTAAATTTATATTTCACAACTGTCACTCCTTGTATAAGGGGCTCTTTCATGAGGTTCGCTTCATATGCACCACCACTACTATTTTCACACAACTTTCGACACATCATGATTTTTACAATAAATAACCAATCATAATATAATTAAGTTCCATAGGTTTTTCACTCAGTTCCTATCAGTCTCATTAAATCAGATTTTACCCTCCACAGATGGTCAGGTTAAAGAGTTTCATCATATAGGAACGTGAGTCACACTAATCATCACCAACCAAGCAGATATTGGAATATATTTTATTTTGTGTGAATCAAATACCTAATCCTGTTGATTAACGTAAGCTTTGAACTACTCCTACTATTACGCCATTTCCTGACTGAATTGCAAACGAGTCAAAACTTTTGTAAACTAATTTCAAGACTTTCAAGTTAGTTTACTCCAGACTTACATCTGGCGGGTCCTGTTTCACCACTTTGTCCAGCCTCTAACGAGTCGTAAGTATCCTCATTCTTTGAAGCACTATCTCCTAAAGATACAACAGAGAATCTTAGGGATGAATTCAAAAGCAAAATTCAACTGCCTGCTCAAACAACAAGACAATACAATTGCTTTTTTACCTGCGAATCCACGACCTTTGCGCTTTTTCGCCCCTTGTTTCACTCTTTGTACATCGTCTACATAAACAAACAACAAAGTTAAATCTTTCCCAATATGTAAACTACGAACTACTTCAATGACAGCTGTGATTCAAGCCTACCTTCTCCTTCATCATCAAAGAATTCTGGCTTGTCTACATCAACATCAAGAACATCCGCCATCTTGAAACAAGCGTGCTTCGAGGGAAATCAAATGCGCATGCTTAGCGCCTTGAGGATAAAACTGCTGACTTAGTAGACTTTGATAATGGGCTTCCTGTGGTGAGGTGTTGGAAGAGAGGGAAAATATGCCAAAATTTTTAGAATATCGATTTAAAAAGTGAAGTTTATTACGCGAGAGGATGCGACGGAAAATGGTGATGATAATCTTGCAGATTGAATACTCCAAAGCCATCCCTTCTTTTTGAATGTACCCACCCCTCCCCACCCCCCTCAAGATCGACAAGACTAAATAGACCTTATTTAAGGTGTTGCAATGTTTTCCAATTACAGACCATGTGACATTCCCAAGAGTAAAATTTTTTTTGTTTAACAGTTGTGCATCAGATAAAACACATGAACTTGGATACAACTTAAGACCCAGAATCATATTCTCAAGAGAAATTGGAAAATATTTCACCAATGTGAAAACATTGCACCAGAATGAATTAGCTCTAGTGTTCCAGGGTATGCCCTGCTTTTCCAGGGGTGAATCCAAGGAGGGGTAAAGGGGAGATATAGCTCCCCTCCCCTGTTGGTTATGTTTCCTGAAGTGGAAAAAGAATTTTTTAATTATTTTTTTTCCAAGCTCGGTAGTGTCATTTGCAAAATTCAGTCAAGTCCCCACTTATATTTCTGCCTGGATCCACCCCTGTTACCAGAATCTTTTTTGACATTCACCTGCCCAATTGCATGACTTTCCCTTTAATCTTCTCTCACAATTATGAGGGTTTGAGTGCTGGTTTCAATTGTTTTAAAAACTTGAGTACTTCAAAGAGTGCTTACATCCTGTTTTCAGAAATTGTTTATATTCTCTCAGAAACATTTGGTTAATTGGAAGAGAGAGGAACTCTAAACACTAAAATTACACACTTTGATGTCATCATTACTTACTTTATTTTTCAATAAAAAAACTCAAGGATTGACTAAAAGCAAGGAAAATCTAACACTTGATAACATGAATTATTTTTTTCTTGTCTTTTTGCTTTTTCACTTAAAATTTAGAGGTGATAAGTATCGACAATCAACCCCAACCTCTCACTATGTATATTTCCTAATCATCTTCATCATCTTGTGTGTATATGGCTTGATTTCTTCTGCAGAGCTTAAATACTTTTGGTTTTGGTTCTGAATTGACATCAGTGTTGGTATTACTGCCAAGCACAGTGTTTTCAGTGTTGCCAAAGGTGTTGTCCCCTGGAGTACTCAAAGGACTTTTGTCTTGAACATTTTGCTCATCTAAAATACTTTCATCAAGAGCTATTTCATCAGGGTTTGATTGGTTAGTAGTCAAAGTGCTACTACAAACAATTTCTTTCTCCATCACTTCATCACCAGTTGTCTCATCATTGTCCTCATCATCATCATCATCCCCTAAATCTATTTCATCTGGATTGGCAGAAGCATCAGCTTGACTTGACTGAGACTCTTGAGGAAAAAATGAATTACTAATACCAAGAGTATTGCATAAGCATTGTGTCTGAGGGTTAGCTGAGTTCATTATTTTGCATCTTTTCTTGGGTTGAGATGGATTAAATGCTTCAACTGTTTGGACAAAATTTTCAGGAATTATAAGATTCCCTTTGAATTCACTTTCAATTTTGGCAGCCATTTCTTGGTTTGGTTTATAGTGTTCAATTTCCTCAGTAGTAGTAGGTAGAACTGTGAAACTGGAGGTAGTGTTTATAAGAGGATTTGTTAACTTTAGGATTGCCAGCCATTCTGCATCATAACATAACTTTAATGGTGCCTTGTCAGGGCCTGTATCGATCACCTGCAGAAAGTCTCGATGAGGAAGGCACTTGTCTAATGCAAGAAACTTAGTAAACTTGGCCTGTCCATTTGTTTCAGACTCATGAGGGATGAGGGCTGGGAATTTCACATGTAAGTGTGCAGAAAACCAGTACGATGGTTGTAATGTTTGAAGTATTTCCATAGCAGGGGGACTTCCTAGGGTATTAGATTCAATCTCTGGTTGTAGAAAACCTTTATACTTGTATAGCTTACTGACATCACCATGGTGATATACCCCTTGAGGCCAGTCATGTGACATGACAATGTCCATTGGTTGAGACAAGAGTTTGAGCTTGAAGACGTCAAAACTTCGGATGTGATAAGCACTTCGCATTGTGTTGCCATCATAGGGAGGGCATTCGTAATGCCCTTTGCGGTAATCATGAGATTTATAGATTCCTGATAATCCAGCTATGCGAAGTCCACCAAAGTTGACCACCCCACTGTACCCTAGATAGTAAATATTAGGCGCTACCCACCCCCCATGGGGTAGTTCCCAAAGGTGATTACTGGCCTCGTGGTTTCCACCAATGAATATCGTCAAAACTGGAGCAACTTTTTCTCCTGAATAATATTTATAGAATGATTCTATCTTTCGATATTTAGGCGGTACTGCCATGCACTCTAAGTCGTTTCCATTCCTGACGGCTTGAAAGTCACCACAGCACAACAGTAGATCGACTTTGATCCCTTCCTTCTCTTGAAGAAACAAAATGGACTCATATATCTTATCGAGCTCGCCATGCGCACATCCTTCTACAGCTATCTTCATGTTCAAAGCAGTCTTTCTAGCAAGATTCAATGATTTATGGCTTCAAAAGTATTTGTTAACTTTTCAACTACAAGTGGTTCTTGTCCGCCATGTTGGAAAATACTGCCATCGTGATGCATGATGGGATGTGAGCCCGCAATGTCTTACGCAATACTTAGCCAAGATGGCGCAGGTTGGTTTGTGCAGAAAAAAAGCCTTCAAATTTTACTTGTTTTTACCTCTGAAATAGCCCTAAACTCCCTATAATTTGAACACAGTTTGTGCATAAATATATTCATTCATGTGAGGTGTTGCTGTTGTTTTCCAGGCGTCGATTTCGAGGTATTTTTGTCAAAGTTGTGGTTATGTTTCGCGATGTCATGGCGTAGTTGTCCCACGTGGAAGTTCAAGTCGTTCATGTGGTGGTAGATCTTGGATGAATATTGCACTTATAGAAAAACATCATAATCAACAGGTATTTTCATTAGAATTCAAGTTTGTTCTTTATGGAAAGACTTCACAGTGACATTTTATATTTTACCCAGCATGCTACTCTAGCTGTCTGTCAAAAAATATTTCAAATTTGGTGCTGTAAAGTTTGTGCATCGTTTTTTTTTCATAAATAAGCACTCGTTTTCAATTGCATATGGGGTATCATATGATATATTTAACATTAAAGTAGCTAGGCTTTGTTGACCTCAATCGAGATATTCTATGACATAATAAATTATTTGGAAACATGCTCATCTGCACATGCTTTAGAAAAATGCACTTTTCACATCAATGTCATGGAAAAAAACCCAATCAGATTAGCATCTGAGCAAGCCCTGTCTTTCACTATGGCGATTCTATATGTGTCAGTCAGATTAAATAAATGGAAAGGGATATGCCAATATGATAGTCTAGGGATTGACACATCTGAAACGAGAAAACTGTTCTCAAACTAACTTTGTTAATGGGCCAAGTCCACTTGGGTGTTATGTTTCCCATTTCAAAACATGTGTCATTCCCTAAAGTAATCATTTCTTTGTTTAACATTTGTGGTTGTGCATGAGAAAAAAAACATGAATACAAATATAATACTCAAACAAAGAATCTCATTCTCAAAGAAATGACTAGTTGTCGGAAATGGCAAAATATTATGCCCAAGTGGATTTAGTCCATTTTACTGTGGTTTTCCATATTCTGCAAACTCTGGCATTTCAATGGCTTGTTGTGAAATTGGTTTTTTACTGCCGCCAGTCAAGAACATAAAAGGTACCGACTGATTATTTTTGATTGACGGTGACCAAAAACCATATTTCAATGTACAACTCACAACTGTCAAGGTAGCAGAATATCGAAAACTGCAGTAATTAAACATCATTAAAAGCCTTCTTGCCATTGATTTCGGCAGGTTAGGAATTTTGCATACAGAAGACCAGATGAACAGCCGGGACTATTTGGACGGTTTATACAAAATATTAAAGAAGGGTTTGAACGAAACAAGGAAATGCAAGAAAATATAAAGAAATTCAAGAAACAAGCAGAAAAATTCGAAAAATCTGATACCTTAAAAACTGCAAAATCAAGATTTGAACTTTTAGATAAAGCCAAGGTACAGTAATAGTTGATAGTATGGGAAATGAAAGCACATGTTTAGCTATTTCTGTATATAATCTTTTAGCAAAGCATGTGAGTATATTACATATACACTTTACACTTATTTTAGGTAAACAATATTTCGTAATCCCATATTATTATTTTTAGCTTGGTTGTATTTGTATTATATCAATTATTAAGTATAGTGTGGTGGGTAATGTTATAATCATGGGAAGTCCTAATAAGTCTTTTCTTTAAATCTTAAGGATAAGTTTTCTGATGCTAGTACAAAGATTTCTTCTACTGCAAGAAGTGTGTCTGGAAGTGCTGCAACAAAAGTGACACAGGTAAATAAAACTATAGACTTTGGGGCAAGAGGAATGAAAGTCTTTTTTGGGAGTAAATATAAATGTTATCTATTGTCGGGGTAAATATGAATGTAATCTTGAAATCTTGTTAGTATGGTCTAACAGAGGGACTGTCATGGACAGACATTTAATAAACATTTTTAATTTAAATGTATATGATTATATATATATATATACACATAATTATATTTTATTCAATTTCAGGCTTACGAAGAGTTTACAAAAAGTGATACTTTCAAAAAAGGAAGAGAAGCATCCGAAGAGGTGATTAAATTTTATTCCATATCATTATTATTATTATTATTATTATTAGAGTACAAACACTAAAAGTGTGCAACACTTTGCACTATTTAGTAGTAAATAGTGCTAATTAAACAATAGAAAACAATAGGATTAGCATAATTTAGCAGTATTTAGTGGTGTTTATGTTACATACTTATAGTGTTTGTACTCTATATATATTATTATTATTATTTATTATTATTATTATTAGATTTATAAATATTTTGCATTATTTGCATTTAAATTTTTAGCTAAGCAAGTCAGCACAAGATGCTGCCTCAAAAATCAAAGAACAAAGTGACGAATTAAGCAAAACTGCACCATTCAAGACTGTTTCAACTGTAAGTTACAAAATTAATTATTGCAATAGGTACTAAAAATTGTGTTTGGGAATCCTGTGGTTCTACCCCTTTTCATTTTAATCTGTTCTAAATGTGGTTTGCTCTAAACTAGGGTTTCAAAGTAGTGAAAGAGGAGGTATTGGATGAAGAATTCAAACAATCCAGACCTTACCAAACTCCCGCTGAGTTACGGCGGAGAACAGAAGCCAGTAAACGAGAAGGAATGGAAAAGGAGAGGAGATTAGAGGCAGATGAGTAAGTAAAAATTGATAAGATAAAAAATTAAAATGTTGTGCAATCTGAAATTAGTGGATGCTGTGGAAATGATCTATATTTAAACTTTCCAATAATGAAATTCTGAAAATGCTTCCTTGGGCACCAGGTCCCAGCTCTAAGAAAATCTAACCCAATTGGATGAATACAATAGAACGAGTCGACAATGAAAACTATTGTTTGTTTTTGCCAATCTTGACAGCTCTTCTTGGTGCTCATGACATTACTGGTTTCCTTCTATGTTTTACTATGGAACTTTCCTTGTGTTGACATGGATTTTGGGTTTTATTCCTTTATTGAGGAAAGGAAAATATAAATACTCTAAATTTACTTTGGGTAATTTTAGCTAACTCACATATTTTATCTTTGTTATCAAAGGGATACAACTGGAATGGTTCTGCACAAGGATTCAAAATGGTATCAACAATGGCAGGAATTCAAAGATAACAATCCTGTTGTGAATGGTAACCATTTTGTTCTCAACTTTGTGAATCAACTTCGTTGGAAAATTAACACGGCACTGACAACACACAGTTTACAACCCTCATAGAATGTACATTTTCATCTGTTACTGGTTTTTTGATTTCAGGTCTGTTTTCTCTAAAAATGAAATATGATGAAAGTGACAACTTATTTGTTAGAGCTACCCGAGTGGTGACAGACAAAGTTGGGGATATATTCAGTAAGTGTAACACTGATTCATTATTTATTTAAAACAGATAGTACAATTCTTAAAGATATGCATACCTCTACAACATTGGAACGTATTCTAGTGCTTCTTTTATAAATGAGGTTTACAAGTTCAAGTTCAAGTTCAAGTTTATTTTTACAAAATAATGACTATATATACACAATTTATCACCCTCCCGCAAATAGCATAAAGCTAATCTTAAGGCGGGAGGCGATATATTACATTAAATAAATATTAGAAGATTTACAAATAAAATATGACGATAAATAAATGAAAAACTAACAGTTTACTTAAAATAAAGAAACGAAAAGGGAAAAAAAAAGGAGAAAAAGGAAAAATGATACTAACCAAGTATTGAAAATCAAGAAATAATTATTTATAAATATTATTTACAAACAACCTCCCTTTTATAGACCTTTTCTGAGAGCAAACATGGTGCATTGTGGTCTAGCTTGGGTACAAACATCCTTAGCTCATCATGCCTCATGGTGTTCGTACCTAAACTAGACAATGCATTATTTCATTAAATGCGAAAAGGTGCATGACTTGAATAATGTGGGGAAAAATAAAGTTCAATTTTCTTTGATTTTATTATAGGTGATGTATTTTCTCAATCAGAAATGGCAAAGACATTGTCGGAAATCACGAAGATTGATCCACAGTTTAATAAAGACAAGTTTCTACAGGAATGTGAATTTGAAATCATCCCTGCAGTACTAGAGGTAACTAGAAACCATATGCAATACATAAGTGAACCTATTTTTATCATGTGTCATTTTTGTTTTTCTATAGGCATTCCTAAAAGGAAATCTTGAACTGCTAAAAGATTGGTGTCATGAACCTGTGAGTACCTATCTTATTCTAAGATAGAAATAATTACCTATCTATTTCCTAGTCCCAATTCCTAGCAGTAGCAGCAGCAGTAGCAGTAACAGCAGTAGCAGTAGCAGTAGCAGTAGCAGTAACAGCAGTAGCAGTAGCAGTAGCAGTAGCAGTAACCTTTTTTTAAATATGAGTCTCTTTATTACGTGCAGTTATGGCTTTCAGATGGCCATGTATAAACAATACTAAAAACTAACAGAGATAAAATGCGAAATTTATATTCAAATTAATCAAATTGCACATTACATCATCGTGGCCATATTGGTGCCATTTAACGAAAGGTCTCTCATTAACATCTATGGTTAATTGCTAGCAAGATTTTATTGTAAGCTCTTTTATGACTACATTGATAAATTAATTACTTACTTATTTCAATTTGTTTCTAGGCATATAATGTATTATCAGCACAAATAGAACAGATTAAACAAGTCGGACAGAAACTAGATGCTAAATTATTGGATATTAGAGATGTTGACGTAAGTATAGAACTTATATTTTTATATTTAATGCCCAATGTTTTTTTTTTTAATCACAGCTACAAACATAATTTACTACTGTGCAACTTGCATATAATGAATCTGTTTAATGAATTTATTTACTTTTTTTTAATAAAATTTTTTATTTACTTTTAGCTTGCGATGGCAAAAATCATGGAGCAAGGACCAGTACTTGTCCTGACTTTTAATGCTCAACAAATAATGGTGCTGCGTGATGCCACAGGGACAATAATAGAAGGTGGTGAGGTGAGTTTGTGGCGTGGATGGCACTAGAGCTTTCTTGCTTTATGATAGGCTTGATTCCAGGTTTGAAAATTTCTGGGGTAATTAATGTAAGGAAGCATTGCTTTTGTGTTTAATTGCTGTGGCTTTTTTGTTGCAGGATAATATTGAGAGTGTAAGTTACGTATGGGCATTATGCCGAGATCAGAGTATCCTGGAACACAGACAAGCTTGGAGGGTGTTGGAGTTTGGAATTCAAAATAGCACTGCATGGGTTTGAAGTCAAGGGAATGTTTTTATCAGGCTCAAAATTGTAAGATTTTAAGATAAAAGTTTATTTAAAAACAGCTTATTTTTGGAAACATTGGACTATCATTAATGTTGGATGTTCCTCATTGTACCAAGATCAATGCTGGGTTTTAGATTGGTGTGCTTCCCAAAAGGCATCCTATCGTATTTCTATAAACTAATGTAAAGCCCTATTCAGTTAGGCTCAGAGGTTTCTGATTTCTTAAATTAATATCTTGTGCAAAAATATATCAATAACATTTTATCAGCTGGGGAGCTAGACTCTGAAATGGGAAAATATAGATTTTGTGAATAAAATGGAAAATTACATGAGACTTGAATTTCCCACTTTCCATTTCCCATTTTTTTGCCATTTAAGAAATAGTGAATAAATCTTTTGTCATGTTGAATGAATTCAATTAAACTTGTGAAAAGAGCACGACAATAATGCTTTCAATTATAAGCTGTATTAAAATTGTGTACAACTATTAAGATATCCATTCAATAATAAACAATAATTAAACTATATTGATAATGAAATAGCTTGTGCCCTGTATTCTTTGCTATCACTTAATTGGCACACTAGGATTTCCCATAGTCTCTGGCATTTTGTCAAGCATGCACTGTAAGACTAAGAGGTATCTGGCATCAAGAGTGAAAAACAAAATCAAAGGCAAAATCAATGTGGTAACATTTTTTATCCTATCCTTTGGACTTGATTTAATCGTTTGGAATAGGATACTTGCATTATGGAGTCATTTACTGCCACCACCAGAATCCCTTGAATGCTTTCTTCTCTTACTATTCTCATGAGGGAATACAAATTTGAATAAGAAAGAAAATTTGCAAAGCAATTTGGAAGTGGTAGTAAAATGACGTCATCATGCAAACGGGCTATTATGAGAGCAAGGGAAAATAGAAAAATGTTGAGCAATCCAGAGAAAATAAAGGTTTATGATTTTCCTTCCTTGTTAGTTTGGGTTCCCTGTGGTATAAAATGTTTGTTTAGTGGCGTTCCTGGGATACCTGTGTTGAGGTTATTTTGCAACACGTTTTGGCGCCCAAATACTTCCTATACTATCAAAAGCTATATAGATTGCTTATTTGCTTCTCTAACCCGTAGATATGGGTTTCCTACATGGATTTGTAACATTCCTGATAGTCTTTATATTCGCAGCTTCTGGAGTCTTGAAACTGACGGACAAAGTCAACCCAGAAATCTATCAGCACATGGTAAGAAACAGCTAGAGCTCTTAGAATATAAAACGCATCGCCTGATTGCAAGATTTCATTATTTATTACAAACTTATAAGCAATTCAACGATGATGAAAGAGTTGGCTGGTTTTTTTTTCTTGAAAGTAAGATTATTTCAGCTGAGCTTTGTTGTCCTTGCAGTACATTTGTTTACATCATGCATGCATGATCGAACGAATTGGGAGTGTGAATGTTGAGTTCACAATCGGCTGAAACTTCAATAAAATGAACTCTTTATTCGAATGCTTTTGCTTCTTTGTATCGTAGAAAACAGAGTTTGTGAAGTACGCCAAAGTTCATCCCTGTACGATCCTGTTCGACTACGAAGTTAAGAGTGATCTTTATAGAGTCGTCATTGGATGGATTGAACTGGTTGGTGCAGTTCTCCTTCTGGTCGGTCCAGCCCCCATTAAGATCTTAACTCAGCTTCTCTTCATGGTCATCATGATTGGCGCAGTTTACACCCTTCGTATGCTTGGTGAGCCTCCTCAAATGGCCATTCCTGCTGGTGTGTCATTTGTCTTGCTTTGTGTCAACCTATTCTTGATGTTGAGAGAAGAGAAGGATGTGAAAAAAGGAATCAAGACAGACTAGCCAGTTGGCAGACGTAGAAATCACAAGTTAATACCATCAACTAGCCATATATGCATGTACTACCTAGTATTACACTTATGACTTGTGAAATAGTGAGCAAGATTTAGCTTTTTCTGATTTTTCACAGTTTTGTTGTAATGTTGAGTTGAGTTTCCTAGAACTTTGAGTGCTGATCAGTATTAGCTCATAGCAAAGCATGCACTGTCTATTACAAACTATAAGGCAGCTTCTGCTATCCATGCAATTCAGATATTGACAATTTTCAAAATAGGACTTGCATTCCTTCCTTTTCTTGCACAATTTAATGTTTAATGCAAAGATATGTGATGTGAACCAGGCAGTTCTAGACTATAATGCTATTCATCAATTTATAGTAGCATTGTCAAATGAGGTCATGTCTGTCTAACTGCCTGACTGTACTAATCTTTTACAGCTGTAAAAGGACCCCTAAACAACATCTACTATCAATATCATCAGAACTCTGCATCTTCAATTGCATTTATTCAATCATGTCAGAATGTAAAGTACACTTTTATTCAGAAAAAATATTTTGTTAATGTCCAAGGGATTACAGAAAATACAGAGCATTTCTTTGAAACACTATAGCTTAGTTTAAAGTGAAAAATGTGTAAAGATACCCATTGTCATGACTACACTCTTTCAATAAAATTTACATTCATAAATCTAGTTTGGAAAAAAAGTGAAAAACTAAAAATGTGAACTATATGAATTGAATTATTTTGGAATTAGAGTATTCAAGCTGACTAATCAATAATTTTTAAAGACTTACTGCAGTTTTTGATATTCTGGGAACTCTAGTTTTGAGGTGGATGCCGAAATATGGTTAGTTCACAGCCGTCATCAAAAGTAATCAGTTGGTATCTCTTATATCTTGACTGTAAGTCCAATTTCACACAAGCTGTTGAAATGTATGAGTCGCAGAGATTATGTTTAAACTACGCCGAAAAAATCACGAAAATATTCATCAAAATATTAAAATTTCAGTGTAGCTTTTGTCACGTGACCCCCAGTCACGCACATGGCCTGATGGTGCCAAGTTTGAAAGAAACTTCGTCAGGAGAAAGTCGTACATCGCAAGCATATCGAGTAAATGTTGCACGGTATATTCGAGTAAAAAAGTATGGGTAGAGTTAACCGATTGATAACGGGCCTTCTTGTTATAATATTCTGCATGTCCGCGATGGTTAAGATTACGGACAAGTTTGATGCTAAGTCACATGCATTTATGGTAAGTTATCGTAATCAAATTATCTTGAATAAACAAATTTGTAGTATTTATTTACTTTGAGAAGTCATTTCAGTGTTAAAAAAACCATTTTAGTGTTGGAAGCCACTGATATTTACTAAATGTCGTAAATTTGTTCGTCTTTGAACCGCATGTTCTATGTTGTACGCTAAAAGGAGATTCTGCCATCGGGTAATACAAGTCATAAGTACAACAGTTTCATATGATCATTATCCTTTTGAACGAATAATTTAAAGTCATTGTCGCTTGCTGTTGTTGTTGTTGTTGTTGTTTGTTTGTTTGTATTAAAACAGCTGTTTTCAAAACAAAGAAATAAAGAAATCACATTAGGAGCTAGCTACTACCCTTCCCAACATCTGACATTACGATGTCTTTATGTTTTAGAGAAAAGAGTTTGAACGGTTTGCCAAAGTGAGTCCTCTCACTCAGCTGTTTAAAACAAAGGTTAATCCAGACTATTTCATGAGAGTAGCAGCAGTAATAGAAGGATCGACAGGATTATTTATCATATCTGGTCCAAGAGAGGTCAGCATCTTTGGATGTATCTCAGGAATCGTATGGCAAGCCACTGTTATACAGATGCAGTATATGTTGAAAAATCCTATATTTACAATGATACCAGCAACAGTGGCTATTCTTCTACTCATTACAAAGACTATCATCTTAGCAAGAACTCCTGATGAAGAACCACCAGCACAACGACTAAAGAAAGATTAATCTCTGTCACGATGCATAAGTGTTAGACATTAAGCCAGGTTCACACAAGCAGGCAAATGCTAGTACAAGGAATGGGAACTTTCATTTTCTTGTGCTTGCATTTGCAAACCAAATTATGCATGAAGTACAGTATTGTAAACACAAACTCAAAACTAAAAATGCTTTCGATGTAAACAAGCATTGCTGCACCTACATATTTTAATTTGGTTGCATTTTATTTGCATTTCATGTGTGATCATTGCTTGTGTTGTGCTGGAGTTGCTCATAGACCAAATTTAAAACTCATACCGATGTGAGGCTTAAGTTGTGAACAAAGGAATCTGGCGTGATTCGTGACTTTTGAATCACGCCAGCTTACTTTGAGTCACGCCAGATCCCTTTGTTCACAACTTAAGCCTCACATCGGTGCGAGTTTTGAAATTGGTCTATATGAACCAGGTTTTTATATTTTACCAGCAGGAGGCTACCATATATCTAGACATGTACATTTATATTTCTAAGCTTTCCTTATTCCAAAAGCAAGGGATTTGAACTTGAATCGAACTGTCAAAAACAGTGAATGTAGTGGTAGTACATGTTACATATACAAGGAGTGATGACTTTTAAATATAAACTATAGATTTATAGACTTTACAATTACTGTGATTTGATTTAATTATTATTGCTGTTTGTGTTATTTTCTAATCTGATAATGTATAATTTAAAAACAAATTATTTATGTACACATGGATTGGCAAAGTTCATTAATTTGGTGCAGTTGTTGATATAATAATTCATACAGTGAGTTTTTGTTAAAATACAAATAATGGCAATTTTTCGAGCCACTGCGTGCTTGACATATTTTCTAGTGTACTCTATTCTTGTGATGGTGTCTTTCAATACTCATTCTAAGATCTTTCATGCATTTGAAGAAAAGTTTAAGCTTTTTTTCTTAGTACCTACTGCCCCATTTTATAGGGCATTTCTTTTTTATTTCATTTACAAAATAAAAAAAAGAAATGTGAATGGCTTGATTTTTTCATACTTTTTCAAGGACAGTGCTTGCTTGTAACATGCTGTACTAGCAAGAATATTGAAAGAAAATTCATTATAACTACCTCTAAAGAAATCCGTAAAAATTATGATAAAAATTGTCACACGGTCTTCTGAATAAAGAATAGTTTTTGAATTCATTATAGCTTTCGATTTGATTTTCTAGAGTGCTTGCAGTTTCTCAGTTCATCCAATATTGTAAGAATTAAAATTCGAAGTGTTTCTTCCATTTCTTGAACTGTATAAGGACCCTCCATGGGTGGAAGGTGAATAAAGACTGTTGGACTATCTCCATGGTAAAGTGATGTGTAGTATGTGAAGTCACATAGATACCTGATAAAAAAGTACAAAATTAAGTTTAAAATAACCATGATGTAAAGGATATTTCATCATGGCTGCATGGAGATACTGATTTTATCTTTCAGTGCTGAGGTGATAATCATCTTAATTTATCAGCTATAGTAATTACCACTGCATACCTTCCAGCATCATCAGACAAGCAGATTTCACATGGACTGCCAACTTGTCTTGCTTTGGCACAAATGGCTTCCAAGTCCACATCTGTATGCATCACATTAGGTGCACCTATATTGCATACATGAATTATCAATTAGACTATTCTATCAGTTGGTTATAAAAATATTTCTTTGACACCTCCAATTCTCCTTTTTTTGTTGGAGGAGTTTTTGTATGTCATTTGTTGATCCAAATTACAATGATAATGCACCCCTTTCAGAAATTCCTTATTCGGAGTTACTTAAGAATGTGGCCAGTCATTGCAGACCAGTCAAGAGGACCAGCCTGAGAAGTGTTTCTTCAGACACTTGTTGCTTATTTTGACCAAACATGGACCATTGACTGTCTGTTACTCTGTCATATCTGACAATATTTTCTTACCTGGAATGCAATGGTTTGTTTTATGGAATTTCTGGTCAACATCACACATTCTCTGATACCCATCATTGTGAGCACATTTTTCAAGTAAAACTGTCTTGGATAACCCATTAACTCCAGCATGGATGCACAACTGTAGATTTGTAAACATCCATTAATGCTTAACTTATACCTAGAGGTCAGGGGGGAGCTCGAGGTTGTGTTGTTTTGGAGGAATGCGACATTGCACACTACTAACTGGGTAGGGTTTTTGATCACTCATGCTCTATGCCCAGCACCTTTCCCTTCTAAATTTCCCTATTGGTGGGCTACCTGTGTCTCTCTTCTGATACCTTCCACAGGAAGCCCAGTCAATTAAAAAGACAGAACAAGAGATAACCTGCAGAGAGGGAGGGCTACTCAATACTCCCCAGGATGGAAATTCAAATGACTTGGACACCATGAAAATAAGCCTCCCTATAGAGATGACAATTTGGCTATGGCTTCTCAAAATATCAAATTCCCTTAGTTTCCCCCTTTAACCCTAATAAGCTCAGGCTAGATTGTATAGAGGCTTTTGCATCATCATGTCATGGTTGCCATGACAGGAGGAGGAACAATTGATTTAGTCTGACTTACATGAGAGTGATGATGCAAAGCCTCTACAACTGATTGATCACAATCAATAGTTGATAAGCATGATCAGTCTACCAACCAGTTTATAACAGTGATCTATTGAACAATCAATTTTTGGTTGAAAGAAATAGTTCTAAAGTTAATGTTGTTGTTCAACCAAAATTCATATTTCCAATATTAACCTGGGGGCGATGCTTTTTCCACAAGTTTGGTATATTTTTCTCAACATATTCATATATTACTGGAATCTCTTCAGTGACTAGATTAACATATTTTGTTATGTCTGATGCTGCGAGTGCCTACAAAACAAAGAGATTTAAATTTGAATAATCGAATGTAATGCAAGGAAAAAGGCTGAAGATCAAGAATTTGATAACAAACAGCTTTTCAAACTTTACGTTATTAAAATTGACAAATTTTAGAAAAAATAAATAAAAGTTATGAAAAAATTAACTTGAAATTAAATAATAATAAAAATTCAGTTAATACCTGACATACCTTTACAGCCTGCATACTAGAATTAACTTTGTGAGGACCAAAGGGACCAAAACCTTTATATCATATATTAAAATCCACACAAAAAAATCGATCAAAATTAACAATTAGATAATTTTAGGCTCAAATAAGAGGGATACAGAAATTCTTTCTCACAGAAGATTACTTAGTAGATCTTGAATCATTAGGTGTATCTGCTGTTATGAATATAAATCGAGAGGTTAGAATACGTCGAAGAATAAAGAGATCTTTTACCTGTGACTAAAACAGTGGGCTTCCTGTTCGCCATTTTGAAACTTCGCAAATATTTACCACAGGTAACCCACTACGTAAATACGAAACATAAATAATTATAATAATTTAAAATCGAAAAATAAAAGTTATATAGTTTTCGTTATAAGAATATGTTCACATTTTTAAGAGACAGAAAAGACAGATTTTTATTGTTTCGAAATGGTCAAGCCAAGTTTTCATTCAACAGATGTAGTTGTATTCATAGTGTTGGGTTACCTGTGTTGTTCTCACTATTCAAAATGGCGGGTCGTGGTGGAAGAGGTCGCGGTAAAGGTCGTGGTTTTACCTTTGATATCGGATCCATTGGGTTTGGTAGAGGAGGAGATGCTTTACCTGCTTCAATACTACAACCACCTCCACTTTTTCCTGTAAGACATTCAAGCAAAAGTCTAATTTATGACCTATTTTTCAAGTTTGAAAAAGCTAGCAATTTCTTTCATTTTCTGACAGACAGACAGACAGACAAACTGACTGACTGACTGACTGACTGACTGACTGACAGACAGACAGACAGCTAGACTTCTGATAAGCAGTTACACAACTCAAGGATATTTACTCCTCTAGCTCATCATTGTTTGTGTATTATAGCCACTAGAAAAAATACCGCTCCCTCTAAGGAAGACAGAGGCAGATGAAACCATGTTGCAACTGAAACAGGATATCAAATACATGCTGAATACATCTCCTTACTATGTAAAGCCAAAAATCATCAATAAAGGTATGATCATAAAACTTATATCAAGAGCTTATGTTACTCCAGAAGCATTACTTATCAAAGCCTCGTTTTTAGATATTGAAAGGTATTCTGATAGATACAAGGAAAAACCACAAGATAATTTGAAATTCAAGTGGGAACCAGGTAAATTGCAGTACATTTATTTTTCTCATGAACTGTCTGTAGCATAATTTGTATACTTTATTTGGAGGGGCAAACTGTGATAATATATGAACTAATTGTATATACACTTGGCAGTGAACAATCTTCACCATATGGTAAGTGGTCAGTAACTCTGTTGGCCAACCACTTACCATTACTATACAGTTTATCTTACAGTATACTTACCATCACCTAACTGTTACTTTACTGTTACCTTACCGACGAGAGACAAACACTCTTAGATGGGTATTTTATCAAAAAAATACATTACATTTTTTTTTAATAGACTGGTCTTATATCCCCTCTGAATTGAAGATCAGAATAGGACGACCCAAATTACGGCACTCTGGAGTATGTAAGTATTGCAGAAAATAAAATAAAAAAACCACTAAGAGTTGCCTAACATGCATCCTTTTGACTGACCTTCTAATGAATAATAAGTAGATAAAGGATTTGCCAGTATACCACTGGTACTGACAACAGTTATTGAGGCTCAAATGTTCACACTTGAGTTACCATGATATGTTGTATAAAAGCTCTATCCAATGGCAAGTCTTTCAGTAATTGTTTTTATTCATTTAATCAGTGAAACCAAACATGAGAAAGAGCAGAAAATCCTCAGAAAAATCCTCAGTAGATTTGGAAAAATTAGAGGTGTGTTGAATTCCTTGATAATATTGAAAAGATATTGTGGCATGCGCATGGTACAAAATAGACCTCTTTACCTTGGATGCAATGTTTTCCCATTTTAGACCATGTATCATCCTTGATGTCAGTAGCATCCATATTCATGTGTTTTCTCATGCACAGCTGTTAACAAAGAGATGTTACTCTAGGGAATGAAATGTTATATGAAATTGGAAAACATTAAAATTCTACTGGAAAATTGTGCTATAAGATAACACATATTCAGCTAACTAGTGCAAGCAGTTGGGTATTTAGAGGCTGATCTAGTGAGGGGCGAGGAGAGGGGATACTCAACACAGTGATTGAAATGATATTGATATTCCATTAATTTTTTTACCTCAATCAATCATGAATGTGATGAATTCCTGATAAATGCTTTAATGATTTCTTATCTGAAGGAGCTTGAGAAAGAAGGAACAACTGACAAACAGTCTCAGGAGAATAAACCAGGAGAGAGCAAGGAAGGTGAAGCTAGTGATGATGATGTTGACGAAGAGGAGGAATATGATGAAGAAGAACAAGAGGAGGTAAGATTTGGGTGTTAAGCCCGGGGAGGAACTCCAGGAAAAAAGTACCGGGGATGCTTGTCGGAAATTTTCAAAAAGACCCCTAAGACATACTGGAAGTTTTTTAGAAAGGGCGTGGCTGAATGATTTTTAACCCCTAAGAGATACCACAACAAATAATATTAAATTAAAAGTGCCTAGGATAAGCCATATCGATGCAAAGTTCCAACAAGCTTCAGTGCTAGGATGAAAATCCATTATTTTGGCCCCATTTTTTATTTAAGAACAAGCCATAGGGTATAATTGTCAGCAAAAAACAATAATTTGGAACTATTTCTAGCTTTATTTTTTTTCCATTGTAGGAAAATGACTATCTTGTTTCACATTTTGATGATGATGAAGATCTTGCAGAAGATGATGACATGGATGAAGGACCTATTTACTAAAGTATCGTATGGGATGAAGTTCTATCAGAGGTGAATAGAATAAGGAGCTATAAAGTTATCTATTCTACTGGATGATGATGAATTTGCAGGATGGGGCAACGTGAATATAGGAGAGTTTTTATGACCTGTTCTGTTAGTGATAACCTCAGTAAAAGAGATGTAACAGAGTGGCAATGGAGAGCATTACAGATAGAGCTACAGATATTTTTGTGAAAACCCATGTTCCATGCATCCATTCAAGAGACAATGCCATCCTTACTATCTAGCCCATCCCACACTAAAAGGGGTAAATGGAGTGCTTTCGAAGTGTGTGGTATTTATATCCAACATATCTATTTCACACCTTTACTTATTCACTATGAATAGATTATTTATATACCTTAAATATCTACCTTGTATTTATAGTAGCATAATGTTCGTATTCATATATTATTTTTATATCAGATTTTATATCAGCTTGAATGTATTTATAATGAGTTTTTTTTCGGGCTCTCTTGATTACTGAAAAAGAAAAGGATGCATATAGTTTTTTTCAAAATTTCATTACTGAAGCTTTTTTAATGGTCTTTTTATTGATCATATATGATAATTTAACTGAGAGCCCTTGGCTTTACATTATCATTATTGTGCAATTCTTAGTCTTTCCAAAGTTCAGAGGAAGACTGGTAAAGGTACTCGTATCGCATGCTACTATGGGGATGAAAATTCGGTGCTCGGTCCAGCTTGATTCCAAAAATGACCCCATAGGTCACTGCGAGCTGAGTTTTTTACCAGACTCCCTTCGATATTTAGACTTTTCTTTCCTCAGTTGCATTGGACAACTTTTTAATCTTTCGTTTTTTATGATACTTTTCGTATTTGCAATTTTCATCTTTGTTTGCTCCATTCGTGTCTCTACAATCGTCCAAGCACAAGCGGTCATCGAATTGATCCTTGCCATATGTTGTGACGCAATATTCACAGTACTGCTGGCAAACCAGTATTCGGTTCTCATTCGGGGAATCGCTATGCCTGGCATGGATTACGCAAATCAAGGAAAGAAGAAGCAAGAAAACAGGAATTGGAAGCTGCATCTTGACTTTAATGTATCCTGCAAAAGAGATAGAGAGAGAGTTTTATGTTCGTCGTGTTAAAAATTCAAGATCCGGGTATAAGACCAGTATAATTAAGAAAGCGAAAAGAAGGAAAGAAACGAGGAAGAAATAAACGAACGAATTAATAAGAAAGCCTCCAAATAGGGAGATTGCCGTGCACTTTATTCCATGACTATAGAGCATAAATAAGTTAAAGCGTTAAATTTACTAGTTAGGTTTTTTCTGATAAACGTCCAGTTTCCAAAACGAATTTTGTTTCGTTTTGGTCTGTGTATGGTGGCCCATTGTTCTCAGGTTATGATGATTAACAATAAATGGATAATTTGACGGATTGAAATAAAATTCCTTTTGCGTTGTTTTATATTCAATATAATTTCGTGATGAAAAACAGGGAGAAAAATGAATAGATAAAAAAATGAAAATAGAAAAAGAACAAATTAAACCGATAAATATTTTATAAATATAAGTATTCTTTATTCAATTAATTGTCATATGTTTTGATAGAGTAACACCGATTTGTATCGGATCTGGAGAGTGAATAGGAAAAAACAAATTAAAAATAATTATTTATTTTTTTCATTTTACTTAAATCTCACTGGATTTTTTTTATAGAGTCGTCTCCCCGATCTGGAAAGATGATCTAAATTTCAGCTTTGATTTCTGCTCCAACGCTTGTAAGAACTTCAATTTCCAAAGCTCCTTGAGTTCACTTTACTAGGAATTTTATACATACTTGATAAGTAAAAGGAGTTAAGAAGCCGTTTAAATGGGTAACGTCTAGCTTGAAGGGCATCACACCATAATGATCGACAGAAGAAAAAGTAGTAAATGAACGGGAAACAAAAGAAGAGCAACAAAAAGGAACATCAGTATCAATATAAATAGAAAAAGAAAATAAGCAAATAAAAGATTTTACCTTGGAGTGGTAAGACAGATTGTCAAAAGTAAACAACTAAAAAATACGACTTGATTAAAAAAATTGATAGAAAAAAAGGTTTTACCTCTGGACGCTTGTAGGCTTTGTTGATGATTGCAATGGTCTTTAATCTATGAATGATTGTTAACACCACAAATGACTATTAAAGAGTGCATTTGGTAATGAACATAAGCCAATCAACGATTGGATGCACCAGTCACATCAGCCAATCAGAGATTAGATGCACTTTCCATATCAGCCAATCACAGATTTAGACCGTGTGCACTTCTCACAAATGACTGAAATTTTTGAAACTACAATACTCCCCTTAGAATATTTCAGCGTGCTTTATTTTCTTTTATAGCCCTATCCGAGATACGAAAAACTGAAATACGTGGATCACGACTCCCGACGATGTGTTATCGGTGTGATTGGTAATGACAGATGGTCGTTAGTATTTTACTGGTGCACCGTAATGTTTTGTCTTGTCAAGTCTATGTAGAGCTGACAAACTGGTTGTACATTGTTTCATAACTGATAATAATTTATCAGTTTTGTCTACTTTGTTTTGCTTTTCTCTTTGTCATGTTTATTTTTTCCTTAGCTTTTTTTCCTCTTCTCTTCTCTTCTCTTCTCTT